AGCTATTAAGAAGGCTGAGATAGGAGTATTACACATTTGGTGACAGATTGGGCAACTTCCTGAGAATCTGTCTCAAAAGTCGTTTATCAGGCTGGGAAGGTGGCTCAGCGGTAAGTGCTTGCCTTGCATGCATGAGGCCCTGGGTTCAATTCCTCAGCACCACATAAGCAGAAAAATCCAGAAATGGCACTGTGGCTCAAGTGGTAGAGTGTTAGCCTTGAGCTGAAGAGCTGAGACAGTGCCCAGGCCCAGAGCTCAGGCCCCATGACCGACAAAAAAAAAAACTCGTTTATCTTTAAAAAAAATTGTTAAAGGTGATGTAGAGAGGCATTCCAGTTACATAATTAGATAATGAGTATGTTTATTTTTGAACAGTGTCACCCCTTCTCTAGCTTTCTCCCACTTTTTCCTTCTGACTATGCACGCAAGTTGTATAATTCATTTTCACCATAGTGTCTAGTGAGTATCACTGATGCATTTGTTTTGTCCCACCATTTATGTGCTCCCTCCTTACCCTCCCCAAACAGAGAAACTTACATATAAAAGATACAGAAAACCAAACAATGATAAAGTGAAAAAACCCTCTTGTTTCCAATTTTTAGAGGTCATCTTGACAAATACCATTTTATAAGATCATATGCACTTAATTACTGAGCCTTTGTGATCCTCTCCTAAGAATATCATCCTTTGGTCTCACTGTGTGCATGTCTGGAGTCCTGTAAACTTTATCATTTCCAGGTGTATTTTTTTGTCTTTTACCATCCTTTGTGTTTTACTATCTATGCATCAGACAAGGGCCTCATATCTACAATATACTTAGACCTCAAAAATTAATCCCTTCAAACCTTACTGCATTGTTGGTGGGAGTTTAAACTTGTTCAACCACTTTGGAAAACAGTATGGAGGTTCCTCAAAAGACTCCACATAGAACTCCTCTGTGACCCAGCAATCCCACTTTTGGGCATTTACCCAAATGATCACAAACAAGACCACACTAAAGCTACCAGCACAACTATGTTTATTGCAGCATTATTTACCATAGCTAAGATATGGAACCAACCCAGATGCCCCTCAGTAGATGAATGGATCAAGAAAATGTGGTATATATACACAATGGAATTCTATGCCTCCATCAGAAAGAATGGCATTGCCCCATTTATTAGGAAATGGAAAGACTTGGAAAAAATTATATTAAGTGAAGTAAGCCAGGCCCAAAGAAACATAGGTCCCATGGTTTCCCTTATTTGCAATAACTAGTATATGTCTGAGACAAGCAGAAAAGGTCAGATAAGTTGATGAACCCCAAGATAAATATTCAATGTTCTTTTAGTTTTTTTTCCTTTTATGCAATTGTTTCTATCATATTTATAAGATGATTTCCATGTTGCTTTGTATATCCCTCCCCCACAGTATAACCCATGCTTACACTGTTTTTGATGCTGGTATAATTTGTGGAGGGGAAGGGGAAAAAAACAAATCGTTTAACTAGGGATACAGGTGGACCCATTGCAACCATGAGATGTACACGTCCTTATGTCAAAAAACGAACTTAACAACTTTGGTGGGGGTGAGGGGAGGATTAGGTGAGAGAGGGGGATGGGAAGGGATGGGAAGGGGAAATAACGAGGAGGCAACAATGCTTGATAAGAAATGTACTCGTTATCTTGCCCATGTAATTGTAACTCCTCTATACGGTATTCTCACAATAAAAAAAAATTAATCCCTTCAACAATAAACCCTCTAAAATAAAAAAAAACCCTCAAAGATACAACTATCTAATTAATAAATGGGCTAAAGACTTAAAGAGAGACTTCTCAGAAGAAGTAAGAAGGGCCAATAGATGCATGAAGAAATATTTAACATCTCTGGCCATAAAAGAAATGCAATCAAAGCAACATTAAGATTCTATCTCATCTCTGTTAGAATGGTTATTATAAAAAAAACTAACAGTAACAGATGCTGGTGGGGAAATGGCTAAAAGGGAATACTACTACATTGTTTGCTGTGAATGTAAACTGGTTCAACCTATGGAAAGCAGTATAGAGGTTCCTCAAAAGACTAAACATAGAGCTTCCCTATGACCTAGCAATTCCATTTCTAAGCATTTATCCAATAGATCAAACAAGGTCACACAAAAGCAACCAGCACAAGCATGTTGATGGCATCATTGTTAATCACAGCCAAGATATGAAATCAACCCAGATGTTTCTCAATGGATCAAGAAAATGTCGTGTATATACATAATGGAATTCTGCACTTCCATCAGAAAGAATGATATTGTCCCATTCATAGGCAATGGAAAACTTGGAAAAAAGTATATTAAGCAAAATAAGCTAGACCCAAAGAAAGTTCCATGGATTCCTTTATTTGTTGTAACTAGACTGTGCCTGTCTCAATGTTTTTTTAATTTCCAATGACTTATTTGTATTCTGTATTTTGTATTAGTATTTCCCAAACCTAACTATATACTGTTCAATTGCATCATATTGCAGGAATACAGAACTTCATTTATTAGTAAATTTACTACACTTTCATGACTCATACATAAACAAATTGTAATTAATACCTTTACATTTTTAGTTCTGTATGATAGTTTGGGGGTTTCTTTTTCAGTCATGGGGACTGAACTCAGGAACTGTGTGCTGTCCCTGAGCTCTTTTGCTCAAGGCTAGTGCTCTACTACTTTGAGCCACAGTGCTACATCTGGTTTTTTAGTGTTTTTGTTGTTTTGGTTTGTTTTTTTGTTTTTGTTTTGTCAGTCCTGGGGTTTGAACTCAGGGCCTGGGCACTGAGCTTCTTCTTGTTCAAGGCCAGCACTCTACCACTTGATCTACAGTACCACTTCTGTCTTTTTCTGGGTATGAGGTACTAAGGAATTAAAGCCACAGCTTCATGCAAGCTAGACAAGCACTCTACCACTAAGCCACACTCCCAGCACTTTGAGTGGTTTTGAGATAAGAGTCTCAAAGAGAATTTTCTGCCCAGATTGGGTTTGAACTCTGATCCTCAGATCTCAACCTTCTAAGTAGCTAGGATTACAAGCATGAACCACCAATGCCTGGCTATATGATAGTTTTTATTTTTGTTTAATATGGTAGAATTTGCTATATCTTCTCATGTATAAATCTCTTACAGCATGACATTTGGATGACTTATAATTTATTATTACTATTGTTGTTATTATTATTATACTTTAATAACCAGAAGTTCAGGGAGTTTACAAATTTCCTTCCAAAAAGACTTCTTGAAAAACTAATACTCAGGTAGTCATTGTGACTTCATGTCAGAAGTCAGACTAGAAGGTTAACAATATCCCTTTCTACAGCAACTGATCTTTGTTATAAGTGCATTCTGAAGATTGTTTAATTAAGTGCACGTTAAGTGCTAATTTTGGGCTCAATGAAGTAGATAATGCTGATTTTTATAATATTACATGTCTGATTACAAAATTTATTAGCAAATGTACTATATTTAAAAACAGGACACACCCAAATTTTCATTTATATCTTTATAGTTTTACTTCTAGAGATTATATATTTATATTTTGTCTACCTTTTTAGAACTTACTATATCTTTTTTATTTCAGTCATGTACAATATACCACTTTATTATCAGTTATTATTATCATTATTACCTTTATAATACTTAGTATATTAGTGATGAGTAACTAGAAGCTCAGAAAGCTCACATTTCTCTTCCAAAAAGCATTTAAGAAACTCTCAGCTGGGCATTCGTGGCTCATGCCTGTAAACTTAGCTACTCAGGAGAGGCTGAGATATAAGGATCAAGGTTCAAAGCCAGCCCAAGTAGAAAAGTCCTTGAGAGTCTTATCTCCAATTAGCCACCAGAATACCAAAAGTGGTGCTGTGGCTCAAGTGGTAGAGAGCTCACCTTGATCTGAAGAGCTCAGGAACAGCTCCCAGGCCCAGAGTTCAAGAACCACAACTGACAAAAAAAGAAAAAAAGAAAGGGAGTAGGGAGGGGGGAGAGGGAAAGGGAGAGAGAGGGAAAGAGAGGAAAAGAAAAGAAAGAGAAGAGAAGAAAAGAAAAGAAACTAACTCTCAGGAAGGTATTGTGACTTTTGATCCAAATCCTGAAAAGGGTATCTTAAGCATCTTGTCTGTGTTTTAAGTGAACTCTATGAAATGGCATGTGACTTACACAAAGTGACATAATAATAGTAACAATGAAAACAGCAACATTGTTTTCCTTTGAACAACATCAAGTGACTTCTATGAAAAGTCCAGTTTCTCCCAGTTCTGGTGTTTTCTCAGACCATAGAGTTCTGTAAAGGGAGTCAGGCCCAGTAATTTGGTGCTGATACTAAGGTGATACAAATACTTGAACCAATCAAGAAGACATCATGACCCTCAGTTTCCTCACTCACAAAATGGTGATGTGACAAGTTCTCTAAAGATATCTGAGTCCTAAAATATTTCCATGCTAGAACGTAGTTATGAGTTTGTACAAGTACAGAGCCAGGGGAAGATAAAGCAGGAAAGGAGCAGCCTGCTTCCAGCCAAGGCAACAACATAGGAACCAGATGAATCAGTGTCCTCAGTTGCCCAGCTTGAAAAAGTTCATTAGAAGAATACCAAGTGGCTCCAACACTTATAACCCTTCTAAACTGATGGTTGGTATGTTTGTGGTTATTGGTAATAGAAGATTCCTGATCACAGGCAACATCTCAGCCAATTGTAGCCAATATAACCAAGATTAGCCCTTCCCAGCCGAGTGTGTCTCAGCCTCCTGTTGGTAGGCCTGAACATTACAAAACATACCTTCCACTTCTCTCCAACTCAAGCCTGTTTCTACTGCTGGGACTAAGCTCTAGTCACTCCCTAAGCTTCAAGACCAGCATTGATTCCAAGATTTCAGCTGCCAACCAATTCTATGAAGGAAACCTGGTATTCCTGGGCCAGTAGTATCAAATCCCATCACCAAAGAACAAAGGCCAAAGTGTGAAGCCATGAAAAGGCGGGCCCAGCAAGAGCGTGAGAATGCGGCCAATACACTGCTTTGGGGAAATTGCAGTGTTATGTTTAGAGACAAAAAAGATATGGAAGTTTCTTGATACCACGGCTATGCAATGTAAGAGCTGCTAGGATTGAGGGTACCAATTCAGTACCAGATTTTTTTCCAACTTACATATAAAGATAGATAATGACATTAATAGGACCATATAAAGATATATTGATGATTCATTTAGATACAGATAATAACAGAAAAATTCTCTATTGTCAAGGTTTTCAAAACAAACTGAACAATTGAATGTAATGGAATTGAATAAGTGGTTCATTAATAAAGATGCCATTTGTGTTTTCATAGATGATTATAGTTCAGCTATATAAATTTAGCTTGACAGGAATAAAGTCATCTTAAGCTATAAACATCATGATTGTTCAAAGGCACCCTTTTCCTGCATAGTTTCTCAATAAACTAATTAGACAAAACCAACAGACTTGGATGTTGAATTTTACAACAGAACACTTGGCTCCAGAATATGATTGATATGATTTATTAACATAAATCAGTTACTTTCAACTAGAATGACATATTTTTTGTCATATATATGCCTCTCATTCTGACCCACATTGTGGAGACTTAACATGCTCCTGCAACTTGAACAATGATCTGTCTGTGCATTCCCCAAAAAGGTTTCTGTAGGTCAATTCTGAAAAATAAAAAGAAAGAAAAGAAGTATGCAAACTGGGGACTAGGACAAGTCAATTTGCATTTGCCAAATAGAACAAATTGCATGGCTAAGAAATAAGTTGATGTTAGGTGAAATGAATCCCAAGATAAGCACTCAAATGTTTTTTCTTTCTTGGGATTGTTTCTAACATATTTATAAGATGATTTCTTTGTTGCCTTGTATGTCCCTCCCCCACAATATAACCCGTTTTGACTGTATTTGATGTTGATGTAATCTGTGGAGGGGAAGGAAAAAAACAAATTGTTTAAATAGGGATACAGGTGGACCCACTGCAACAATGAGATGTACAAGTCTTTATGTCGAAAAACAAACTTCACAACTTTGGGCAGAGGAAGGGGGGAGGAGGAAATAAGGGGGGCAGGTGGGAGGAAGGGAGATGGGAAGGGATAGGAAGGGGAAACAAAGGAGGAAGCAACAATGCTTGATAAGAAATGTACTCATTATCTTGCCCATGTAATTGTAACCCCTCTGTACAGTATTTTCACAATGAAAAACATAGAAAAACAAAAAAAAGCAACAAATTTTGACAGTCTTGGATTCCTTATAAAAAAAAAGAAACAAACCAAGAAAATGAGTAGATAATGCAGAAATTTTGAAAGTCTCTAAACATACTAAAATCAGTGGCATAAATGAGATGTTTTAAAATAAAATGAAAACTATTAATGTTTTACTTTTAAAGTCTTTCTCCTTAAGTGTATAAAGTTCTGAGCAGTTTCTGAACAAAAATACTCAATTGTATGATCCTTTAATACAAAAATACATTGTGCTTATTTCATAAAAACAAAATAAAACAAAACCTACCACATGAATCTCATTTCTCCCATCTACATTTTTTCCTGTGCTCTATCATTGTGTATTTTTTCTATTTGCTCTCCATTTTGCCTGACATTGCCTCCAAGTGTGACAGACAGAGAATACAAGAGCCCCAGAATTCTATAGTGGTGGTTTGTAAGGAGAACGAAGCTACAGTAACTGCCACCCTCATTTCACTTATAGAAGAGAAAGAAAAAATCCTCCATGCTCTGGCATAAGGATGAAGGAGACAGTGCGTGACTACATGGCCCAAAGAGCCAGGGGAGCAAATTATAAGCAAAATAATTGTTTAAAGCCAGAAAAAGTAAACTCCACATTCAACTGTATCTTTCATCTTTAATGTTTGCTTCTAATGTGCACACACCACATTTCAAAGTATCAGGGCAAAGAAAAGATCTCTGCTTCTAGGAGTAAACATCCATGGTATAAGAATGCAAAATCTAGTGTGACCAGGGCTCAGGCCTGTTATAACAGCTACTCAAGAGGCTGAGATGAGAGGATCACGGTTCTAAGCCAGTCTAGGTAGGAAAGTCTATGAGACTCTTATATCCAATTAATGACCAAGAAGTCAGATATGCAGCTATGGCTCAAGTGCTAGCTTTGATTTAAAAAGTAAAAGTTCTGGGACTAAGTCCTTGCCCTGAGTTCAAATCACAGGACCTATAATAAAATAACACATAAAAGAATGTAAAATCAAGATTTCTCCAAGAAATAATTCCTTAAATAAAGAAGAAAAAAATGAAGAACAGAGGAGAGATGCAAGTCCAATCTGGCCTAGAAGAACCCAGAACAAAGATGTCAAGGAGAAGACACTAGAAGGCAAGTGCCTTGGATTACAAAATTCCTTACAAGGTGCCAACAATGTACTTTTCCCTGCTCTTCAAACAGGTAACAAAAGAGCTCTTTCATTCTTCTTTGGCTATTGGAAAGTTCTAGTAAGTTCACTAATTGGGTCAACAAAATGATCTTAGAACAAGTGTAAGGCTTCAACCTCAAGGATCTTTCTTTGTCAAGCACATTATATGCACAAAGTAATTATAATATTTTATAAGATGAAATATAATGGGCAAATTATAAATAGCTTTAATAATGAACATTGGTGATGAACACTGAGATGATGTCTTCCATTTAAGAGCCTAGAGGAAAGTGGATAGTATGTCTGATTTGTAGACTTCAGGTCATCCAAGACCAAGCAGTCAGGCATTATTAAAGCTCTCCTGCCATTCTCTACCCAATCCCCTCTTCTGGTTCAGATTCTGATCTTGTGATTGGCTACTTCAGACCTTTCAACTGCCTAACTAATGACATCATTCTCCCACCAAACCAATCACCACCTAGTAGAATCCTGGGGTTACCATGGCATCCTTCGAATATTTGCATCATCGCAAGTGCCCAGTGCCCAGTGAGCAGTATCCAGTGAGCTCCTTACTGGGCACACTCGTGCTCTTTAGCTTCAGCTATCCACACATCCTCAAGTGTCATTCCTCATTCCTTGTATCTCCAGTTGATATTAACCCTTCTCTCAGTATGTCAGGTAAGGATAAAAAGGGTCTTCTAGACATGTGACTTAGCCACACATTTACTCTCTGACAAAATCTGTTGCTTTGTCTGCTACATGAAAATAATAAATTGGTCAATCTGGAATCACTTTGATTTCTAACACTGTGTTTACTTAAAGGGTAATCATGGATGGAGATTGAAGCCATAGACTTCTTCAGAGTGTCAATTTTTAACCAATTAATGGAGAAGGAAACCTTGGTGCAGAAAACTCTATACCAAGATACTTTATCTGTAACAGAGTCCTTCAACAGCTAGTTCCAATTTAGTATTTCAAATTTAGTGTATTCAAAGAACAATATTTAAGTCTTTCAATATTTCTGCTCAAATGAGGTACAGAGAAAAACAGAAAGAGAGGAGGGATGATCAGGCTAGCACCAGAGAGATGTTCTGGAAGGAAAAGTTCACCAGGAACCAGAAGGGTTAAGAAAAGATAAAGAGGAGGATGAGAAATAGGATAGAACCACAGCTATGAAGAGCATGGGGACATTCTTGAGAAAAGAGAGGTGGTTTAGAACAGAATGCTGAAGATGATCAAACCTGTTAAAATCAACACACAGAAACAGAGTACAATCTAACCACAGCAAGGCAAAATGCAGTTAGTTTTAGTCAAAGCACACATTAATGGACCACAAAGCAAAGTAAGGATAAAACAGACTCATTAAAAGCAGTTTCTAAGAAGTCACTTTTAGATGATTCTTACTTTATGATTCTTGTGATGTTTTTTCCAGATGACTCTGAATACAGATGATGCTTGATAGTACCGTTTTTTAACCTGTGAACTCAGGGCATAGCACTGGTGCCAGCCACGCCCCAGCCCTCTTCGTTTCAGTTATTTTCTCAGACAGGATTTGGAGTTCTACTTCAGGCCAACTTGAACCGTGATCCTTCTGCCTATGACTCCCTTGTACCAGTGACCACAGCCATGATCCACTACAGGAGGTTATGTGATTGAGATGAAATTTCACTAACCTGCCTAGAAGGCTGTCAAGCTACCCTCCTGGACTGTTTCCCGAGTAGTTAGGATCAGAGAAGTAAGCTGCTGAGCCCTGCCTTGACAGTTTCCAATGTGAACATTTTAGACATGTATTGTAGAAATGGCTCTTTATAACATATTTCTAGGCAGAGTTCTTGCAGAGGGTTGTGCAACATAAATTTCAGCATTACTTTTCATTCTGATTTTTTTTGGCTGGTCGTGGGTCCTGAACTCTGGGCCTGGGCACTGTCCCTCAGCTCTTCAGCTCAAGGCTAGCATTCTACCACTTTGAGCCACAGCGCCACTTCCAGCCTTTTCTGCTTATGTGGTGCTGAGGAATCGAACCCAGGACCTCATGCATGCAAGGCAAGCACTCTACCACTGAGCCACTTTCCCAGCCCCTCACTCTGATTTTTAAACTTCATGGAGGTGTGTGTGTGTGTGTGTGTGTGTGTGTGTGTGTGTGTGTGCACGCGTGCATGTATATCAATACAAAGTTTTATACTCCAAGCCTGGGTGCTGTCTCTAAGCTTTTTATCTCATAGCTAATGCTCTATAACTTGAGCCACAGCTCTACTTCCTGGTTTTGGTGAGGAGCAGGTTGGAACCACGACCCTCAAAAACTTCAGGCAAGCCAGGCGCCGGTGGCTCTCGCCTGTAATCCTAGCTACTCAGGAGGCTGAGATCTGAGGATCGTGGTTCAAAGCCAGCCTGAGTAGGAAAGTCTGTGAAACTCTTATCTCCAATAAACCACCAGAAAACTGGAAGTGGTGCTGTAAATCAAGTGGTAGAATGCTAACCTTGAGCTGAAGAGCTGAGGGACAGCGCTCAGGCCCAGAGTTCAAGCCCCTGACCCACAAAAAACAAACAAAAACATCAGGCTCCTGAGTAGTTAGGATAACAGTCATAAATGCCAGGCATATATATATATATACATATACATATATATTTATATTTATATAAATCTGTGTATGTATATATTATGTATATATGAAGCATTTTAACTTTCATCAGTAGTAGTTCAAATAAAAGTTGTATCTTATCCTTATAATCAATTTCTGGCTAAACCAAAAATCCAAAAATCAAAGATAAAGATTTTTCTAAAAATAAAAATCAAAAGTTAATCTCCATATTTTAGTTCCACATTCATTTAAAACAATATTGACTTCCATTTTGGTTTTCTATAGTTAAAGAGTTGTTTGGGGATGGGACTATAGCTCAGTAGCACATTAGGACACTGCTGCCTATCTACTGCACTAACAAGACACCTTCAGTATCACATTATCTACATAAAATATAAAAGGCCTTACTTCTGCCTGGCATTGTAGCTTCTGTCTGTGATCCTAGCTACTAGAAGGCTGAAATCTGTGGATCACAGTTCTTAGCTAGACTGCAAGAGTAAGAGTCTTTGAAACTATTATCTTCAATTAACCACCCCAAATGGTCTGAGGCTCCACTAGCAGAGCTGTTGCTTTGAACACACACACAACTGAAGGATAGCGCTCAGGCCTAGAATTTAAGCACCAGGAATAATATTGTAGAAAGAAGGTCTGTGTTCTATTACCAGTAAAGAAAATGATGATGATGATGATGATGATGATGATGATGATATAATGATAACAGAACTCTGATAGTGATTAATTTTCATGGGTGATGATATTTTTCTTATGTTGAAGGTGATTTTCCTCATGATTGAACATGAAGCTAGGTTTTCATAATAAATATAAAACCTTCTAAAACCTTTTAAAAGACCTTTTAGTGCTTCTCTTTTTACTATATTATTTAAAATATCTAGCTAAAACAATTAATATCTTTAATTAATATCTTTAAATTGGAGTATAATATTTAGAGAAATAGGAATGGCTACAATAGTAGGATCCTTTTATTTTTGGTGATTTGTTGTCCTCTCTACCATTTTGGGTTTTATTTCTTTGCTCTGAATTTTTTTCTTTTTTGCATTTGTGCTATGTTGCCCAAACTGGTCTTAATCTCCTGAACAAGAGTGATTCTTCAGCCTCAGTAGCCTACATGCTAGAAATACAGAGGTGCCAGGCTTCCTACTCATTTTATAAAATGCTGGTCTACATCAATTATGACTGCTTATATGGCACGACTGTTGATACAAAAAAAATCCCAAAGATGTTATCTAACTCCTAGGATGAAAGGTCAGATAATAATCATTCTCAATAAACATTAGAAATTTGAATTAAAAGTACCATTTATACTATCAAAATTATGAGATACTTAGAATAATTATAAAAGATATGTGTAGGATGTATATGTTGAAAACTACAAAGTTTTGGTGAAAGGAATCAAAGCAACAGTCAAGTAAATGAAGTGTTATCCATGTTCATGGAGCAGAAAGTTCACTATTGTCAATTGAGGCAGGATGAGAGAAGAGAGATGTGTCAGTGAGAGATAGAAGATAGGGGTGGTGTACCTTTAAGACGAGAAACCATACATACTGACTTGAGGTTGAAGATTACAAGTTTGCTGCCAGCCTTTAAAATTAACTGACAAACTGTCTCAAAACAAAGTTCTTAGTCAGGTGCCAGTCGTTAATACCTGTAATCCTAGCTACTCAAAGAGATGAGATATGAACATGGAAGTTCAAAGACATCCTCGTCAATAAAGTCCTTAGGAACCTAGTCTACAGTTAACCACAAAAAGGCAGAAGTAGAGCTATGGCTTAAGTGGTACAATGCTACCCTTGAGCAAAAAAAACCTGGGCAAAATGCTCAGGTACCGAGTGCAACTCCCCAGATAGGGACATACAGACAGACAGACAGACAGACAGACACACACACACACACACACACACACACACACACATTCTTAATTCAAAGCCCACTTTCACTTCTGTGTTAGATTTTGGCTAAAATCAAGGAGAAATATCCATTTGTATAATATTGCACATATAATAACATCAAAACATTTATTGGTAAATATACTACACTTGATTATTTGATACATATCAAAATTATCTTTCATATCTTTGTATATTTTTAATTTTTGTCAACCTTTTCAGAACTGACTATATCAAGCTCCATATCAATCATGTATGAGACTTTTATTCATTATTCATTATTATGACTATTTACAAATATAATATGTCATTGGTGAATAAGTAAAAGCTCAGAAAATTTCATAGTTTTCTTGCAAAAAGCATGTCTTGAGAAAGTAACTCTGAGGTAATCTTTGTGACTTCAGGTCAGAAGGCAGACCTGAAGCGGTCTGACTTGACTTACCTTCTTGTCTGTGTTTTAAATGAACTCTACAAGTGTCCTGCAACTTATACAAGGTGTCACAACAGCAAGACAATGAAAACAGGATCACTGTTTTCTTGTGAACAACATCAGCTGCCTCATGAAAATTCTATTTCTCCTGATTTTGGTGCATTGTTCACCTGCTCACTCTTTATAACACGGTGTTCATAGCAATAAGAAAGAAGTACTCAAACCAATCAGGTTGACCTCTGACCCTCAGCTTCCTTACTCCAGAAATAATCTAACAAGTTCTCTAAAGATATCTGAGATCTAAAATGGTTCCATGCTAGGACATAGTTAAGAACAAATACAAGTGCAGACTAAGGGAAAGACAGGAAAGAAAAGAAGCCTCTTTCTACCCAGAAAACAGCACAGGAACCACTTGCTGTCTTCTGTTGCACAGCTTGATCGGAAGAATAACAAATGGCTCTGACTTATAAACTGACCATAGATAGGTCCATGAGTGTTGGTATTAGAGGGCTTCTGATCATAGCCAGCCTCAAATATACTGCTCCTCAAGTAAAGTGGAGTTTTTCAGTCTCATTCATTTTTTATCACCCTCTTGCTTCTTGCAGACAATTTCCAACATCCATCTCTATTTGGAACTGCAAACTCACCACAGCTCTCTGTTCCTGTGGTGAGCGATGCCACTTCTCTAGCAGGAAATGTCTGCAACCTCTCCAGAATCTCCACTCCAGCCTTCACTTCAACATGGCAACTACCATCAACCTCTGGCATCTCTTTCCAGCCACTCACGGGTACTGCCTATCTTTATCAACATTCTAGCACACCCATGCTGACAGGCGTTACTGGCCAGAACCACATCTGCACTTCAGCTTCCTCCTGTCCCAGTACTTTTGAAAGGAAGTACACAGGACACACTAAAAAGAAGTCATCTGAACTTAGAGACTTCACTGTGACTCTCAACCAGGGCACAGCAGTCCCTTCAATGGCTGTGACACCACGATATGTGGATGCCAATGCCATAGTCCCTCTGTATCCATCACTGTCTGCCAGCCTGGTTCAGGGGACATTATCTCAGATTCCACATCAAGAGAGTAGCATATTACTTCCCTACCAACCAAGAAACCAGGTTTACTACTATAATCAAAACACTATGGGTCCTCTGTTATTTGGAGAGCCTGGTCCCTGCCTGCAATCATATGGCTCTGTGACCTACACAGGGAGTGGGTTCTTTGCTCCTCAGCCAGAAATAGTGATGACACTCCAAGAGGTCCAGCCTACAGATGTCTTACCACCAGTCTCCACTTCTGGAATCTACTATTCCGTGTCTGCTCAACCTAACACAGAAACCAATTTCCAAGGTAAGCACAGACAGCAAAGAGGAATAGGACTAGCTTCATACAAAAGGAGGGGACAATCTACATCTGAATAGTAGAGCGTTCACAAATATAGTTTAAGTCCTGAGCCTCAACCACCACACTCACAAGGTGACCTCCATTTTCAGGCATAAATCATATGGCTAAGAGTATGTTTCAAGTGGAAGAGCACTTGAGCTGTGCCTCAACTGGTAGAATGCTAGCCTTGAGCCAAAAAACAAAAACTATGCGGAGTGCACAGACCCTGAGTGCAGCACCCAAACAGAGACACACACATATAGCACATAATCACATACTCAGAGATGCTGCCCACAGGAAACAGGCCATAAGATATACATTTTGTGTGTTTTGTAGGCAGAAAGTCCACTCTTGAGCTGAGCACCTGTGGCTCATGCTTGTGGCCTATTTACTCAGGAAACAGATTTGATGATTGAATTTCAAAGTCATACTGAAAACTTTTTCAGCATCTTCAGTTCACAAACAAATGCCAACACTAGTGGTCTACCTGAAATGGTAATGCACCAGCCCTAAGAAAAACATTGAGAAAAAAAAGGCTCTGAATTCAAGCCCCAGAATCAGTGAGCTCATACATACATACTCTCTCTCTCTCTCTCTCTCTCTTACTCATACACACACTCTCTCCCTCACACAAATCAAAACTCATATAAAACTTTCCCATTCTCTGTCTTTGTCTCTCTTTCTCTGTCTCTCTTTCTCTCTCGCTTGCTCATTCACTCTCCTTCTCCCTCTCCCTCTTCCCCCTCTCTCCATGATGTCATGAGACATGTTATATTTACAGGAGAGTGACAAAAATTGTTACCTATATAAAAATATGAGGAATCATAAAGTTACTTTTTTCTCATGGGATTGAACCCAGAGCTAAGAGTTTCATTTCTATTTCACTTGCAATAAACTGATGTCGGTGCCCTGAATCTTGTATATATACTTCTCTAATTTGGTGAGGGGAAGGGAAATGCTTAAATAGGGATACAGGTTGATCCATTGTAACAATGAAATGCATAAGACACTATGTTGAAAAAATGAACTTTACAATTTAGGCAGGGGGTTGGGGCTGGGGAATGTAGTTGTGGAGTGGGAGGGAAGGGATGGTAGGGTAACCAGGAGGTAACAATGCTTGATAGGGAATGCACTCATTACCTTGCTCATGTAACTGTAACCCCTCTGTACAGTATTTTTACAATAAAAAGTATTAAAAAAAAAGAAACAAGGGCATCTAATTAGCACCAGTTTTAAATAGAGTAGCTGTCACCCATCTTCTGACTCAGAGTCTTGTCCACAGACCATAAGACCAACTTCTAGGAACTTTGTTCAGTGATCAAAAATGCCTATTTAATTTGTTGGTGTGTGGGTGGAACATCTCACTTACCAGGGACTGATTTCTGCATTGATTACTTTGCACTGATGGAAACTAACCTGGGAATGGAAACTTTCCTAGAATTGCAATTTCCAGTCAGAAATTTTGTCAGCCAGAAATTCCAGACAGACCCAAGTACTACAAGTGTAAATTCTGAAGTAATTGAGAAAAATATGTGTCATCTGACCTTGGAGACATTTCTTAGAGATCCAGTATTAAACTCTCCTAATACCTTGGCCTTGCCTCCAGCTAATACAATACCCAAACAGAGAATAAGCATTAGGATGAAATTCAAACCAAGCTTTCAAAGCCTCTGGTTGCCTTCCAGAAAACTATACAAAGCCAGAATAACCCACTACACTCTTTAGGAATCCCTGAAATTTAGCAGCTGCCGGTCAAGCTCCTTAGGGACAAGGGAGAAGTCTACATGGGATAAAGCCAATTTGGAAATTTTGAGTCTTGAGGACAAATGGAATTGACTGTAACAATGAGTGGGCTTCCAGATATTGATATGCTGGTTAAAGACATTCATTTTAACCAGATTTTCAATTCATTCACAGATCTCAAACAATCCACTGTTTCTACTACAACCGACATCAAAGGTACAGAAACTAATTGCAGCCAAAACAAGATTCTCCTCCAGGAAAACTCAGTGGTCACTAAGCATTCCACTGATCAAGTCCAAAGGAACAAGCATGAAGCCTTGGAAAGTGTGGATGGAACTCCTGAGGTCAAAGTCGAATGCCAGCCCCCAGAGCTCCTGCTGGAGGAAGAGGTGACTGTGTGCACCATCCCATCCAGTGACCAGGCTTCCGTGAACACAGACAAACATTCTGACAGCAAATCTCCAAAAGCTGCATCCAGCA